TGTAAACAAAAATACCTTCAAGAGGATTCCGTTTTCTTTTCCCCAGACGTATGAAAATGGGAGGACTACAAGAAATTACAAAACAAGATTTACCGAAACTGAAAGATGAGTTAGCATCTTATCTTCCCGATTCTGTCACGGTAAGAACTTTGCACTGTTTTAAATACTTATATGTTTACAAATGTGTGTGTGTCCGTGTGCGTGTTTGTTTGTATGTGTGTGTGTTCGTTTGTGTTAAAACGAACCAAGGCACAAGTATGCATTCATACGTGCATACAATGAAAATCCTGGTCGCTTTATATGGATATAAACTTTCCGGCATCAAATCAATTAACATACATCTGTTCTTTAAAAAGGCGTTTGAAAATACAGCTATTTAGATTAAAAGATTAACATAATACACACAAAATAATGCTATTGACGTTGCAAACAACTGCAAACATATTAAATATATATATATATATATATATATATATATATATATATATATATATATATGTGTGTGTGTGTGTGTGTGTGTGTGTGTGTGTGTGGTGTGTGTGTGTGTGTGTGTGTGTGTGTGTGTGTGTGTGTGTGATAAAGAGTCATTAAAGAATTAAAGCTATCATTTCATTCTTATTGACAAACACTATATCAAATATCTCTTCATATTAACAGTTTCACATTTATACAGGTTCACGGTGTACTTGAAATCTTGCTCCATTACGATAGCATGGGGACACGTGTATTTACAGCAAACGGAAAATCATCGACCCTCGTGGTGACAACACCCATGTATACCAAGGTGATTTTAAGTCCGTTTCCCTTTATTTGGTGTTTGATTTATTTTCCCTTCTTTCTTTCTTATCTATTTATCAGTTGGAGTACTTTGGAAATCTGTATATGTATTTTGATAAGACGATTTGGTTTTATAATAATCTTGCAAATGTTTTGTTTTGTTATGTTTTGTTTTCTTTATATTCATGGTCCCTTTGCCAATAGCCTGGGTACCAAAGCCTCTCTGTGTTTTGGGATTGCAATAAGGAAGAGGATCGGGAGGTTGCAGCAGCACTTTCGACCTTACCTGGTTTTAACTGGGACAAACCTCTCGCTCTGTACGCTTGTGTGTCACAACTTTACGAAAAGGTAAGAGACAGTGTATGTGGACCTATTTCTTAGTGTGTATGTTGGGTATTTTTCAAAACAGTATAAATAAAGAAGAAATGTATCATATACAAGCATGATATATATATATATATATATATATATATATATATATATATATATATAATACATATATGTATATATATATAATATATATATATATATATATATATATATATACATATATATATATAATATATATATATATAATATATATATTATTATATATATATATACATATATATATATAAATATATATGGATATATATATATATATATATATATATATATATATATATGTGTGTGTGTGTGTGTGTGTGTGTGTGTGTGTGTGTGTGTGTGTGTGTGTGTGTGTGTGTGTGTGTGTGTGTGTATGTGTATATATATATACATATATATGTGTGTTTGTGTTGTGTGTGTGTGTGTGTGTGTGTGTGTGTGTGTGTGTGTGTGTGTGTGTGTGTGTGTATGTATATATATATATATATATATATAATAATATATATACATATATATATATATATATATATATATTATATAATACATATATAATATATATATATATATATATATATATATATATATATATATAATATATAAATATATATACATATATATATGAATATATATTATATATATATATATATATACATATATAATATATATACATATGGATATAATATATATATATATATATATATATATATATATATATATATATATATGACTATATATACATATATATGTGTGTGTGTGGATGTGTGTACAAAAAAAAGAAAAAAAATACATACACATATACATACATACATGTATATGTGTACGTATTTGCCTCATATACATATAAATTTACATTCATATGTGTATTTCTCAATTTAAATTTCCTCATCTTTTATATAAAACTGATGATATCGAGAACGCCAATACCTATTTGTTCAGCAATTGCAATGTTTTTGTTCAGAGAATGCGAGGGATATTTCTGCATTTTATTAATTCGTGTTTGCAATATGTGTCATTAGGGCTATAATATTATGTAAATGCAATTTCTAATACGGTTTTGAAGAATTTTAGTTTCCATGTATGATAGTATTAATGATGATAATGATAAAAGTAGTAATACTAATCATATAAAATAATGATGATGATAATTATCATATTAATAGTGATAGTGATAATTATAATGATGATGATAATAATAATAATGATGATGATAATAATAATGATGATGATGATGATGATGATGATAATGAAAATAATTGTCATTTTAATAGTAATAAAGGTAATGACAATGATATTGATAATAATAGTGATAATTATTATGATAATGCCAATGATGATAGTAATGATAATAGTAAATATAATAACAATAATGATCATAATTGTAATAGCACAGTTCTTGCAGGTAAGATGCTGATATTTAAAACCTTTAAGACTTTTTAAAACTTATTAGCCACTTGTCGCTGAATACACACTTGCCCTTAATGTGCAGGCCTACTTGTCGCGTGTGACTAAGATTTAAAAAAAAAAAAATTCACCTCGTGATTTTTCCACAACCTCTCGGACAGATTGCGCGCCAGAATTATTATCATTATGATATTATTATTATTTTAATTTTTTTTTTTTTTTTTTTTTTTTTTTTTTTTTTTTTTTTTTTTTTTGCACACGGCCCATAAGCAAACGGTCGCGTCGATCAGCAAAGGTCAAGGTCTAATGAAGACAAATTATTTCCGATCAGACCGCGTAGAGATCCGCGAGTGAGTGAATCCCAACGGCGTCCGCTGGTAACAGATCTATGCACTGTACAAACACGCGAAAAATGGTGTGTCTTGGGCGAATTTAAGACATTTTAAGGCAGAAAAACCTCAATTTTTTTAGAATTTTTAAGGCCTTAAATTCCCCCAAGATTATCTAAGAATGCCCCCGAATCCAGAATGATAATAAAATAATCATAATAACAACAATGATAAGAACAACAACAATAACCCACACGTAAGGTCGCATTAGCCAAAGTCCGTTATAAATATTCGTAAACACCGAGTCCGTTAGGCATTGTTTACATTCACTGTCGCAACAAAGAAAACGGACTTATTGTGTTTTGTCTTCAGCTGAGCCGCATGATCGAGAACAGAGAGCTGGGGACGGGGAAGCTGCGCCCTGGACGTGTGGAGAGAGCTCACGTCTACACTCTAACCTGCGGGACTTTATCAACGCCCAGGTATAAATAATATATATATATATATATATATATATATTATATATATTATATATAATATATATATAGAGAGAGAGAGAGAGAGAGAGAGAGAGAGACAGAGAGAGACAGAGAGAGAGCGATAAATATATATATATATATATATATATATATATATATATATATATATAGACATAGATATATACATATATAATTATATACATAATATATATATATATATATATATATATATATATATATATATGTGTGTGTGTGTGTGTGTGTGTGTGTGTGTGTGTGTGTGTGTGTGTGTGTGTGCGAGTGTTGTGTGTTGCGGTGTCCGTGTGTGTGTGTGACGAACAGAAATGAATTTCCATTGGATGTTTGAGGTTGCTAGTAGCTATATCGAATATTTACATTATTTTTGCTTTTCATGCACGAACATTCCTATTTAGATCAGTTTTACCAGGAAGTTCCCTTCAATTCCTGCCAACTACTGACTCTAAATAAGGAACATTTTCACTCCTCAGGCTGCCCAAGGGCTTCGAGATCCGACGCACCGAACCGCAGTTTGCCGAGCACATGCACACCTACTGGAAGTACCAAGACTTTGAATCCTTAGAGGCCTACAGACAGGTAGTACGTGTCCTCCCGGGCTATGCCGTCTACAGAACTCCTACAAACACTGACGAGGAGCCCCAGCATTCAGGAGAAAACGCTCACCCAACCGGAGCTCCGGTTTCGTGGGTTCAGCTGAATGGGAACAACAAATTAAGCAATACATTCACCCTGCCAGAGTACAGGAGGCGAGGTCTGGCTCAGGCGGTGACCCTCGCTCTGGCTGCTCACGTGACCCGACAGAGTGGCAAGGCTTCACTCTACATTAACGACGATAACGAGGCTTCTGCCACCTTCCACAAGCGACTCGGCTTCACCCGCGAGTGTGCTGTAACCTGGCAGGCTTTCTCTTAATCAAGAGCTATGTTGTAAAGCTAAACCAACATTTCATTCATGCACTTAACCAAAAGTTTACTAAGGGTGCGTTTACACCAAACGGGCCATGGCGAGGCAAATCAAAGCAAAATCCTCACGCGTCATGATTCGCCACCTAAACTAAAATACAAATAAAAAGTAAAAACAAAAGCTTTGACCATGGGTTCTCATTTGACTGACGACTATAAATAGACGCGTAGCCAATAACTACAAATTGAAACCGCAGATTCCGTGAATATTCGAAATGTGGAATTCTGAAGCAGTTTACTCCCTCCTGGAAAAAGTTAGAACTCCGAAAACACGAAAGAATAGCAAGAGTTAGGGAGATTGCGGGATCCAAAGCGACTTTCTGCGATACGTTTTGATGCCGCGATTCCACTGGACAAAGTCGATGGTTCTTTTCGCAGTGTGAACACCACTGTTGTTTGGCTCCAATTCACAGAAATTTGCTGGATTCCATTGAAATTTATGGGTAGTCTAACCGTACCTTTACCACTGAAAGCGTTTACACCGGGCGAGGCGGTTTCTTTAGGGCTGAGGCAGGAATAGAGCTGGACCTAAATATGCCTTAGTCACAGCAAGAGTTCTTGATTTAGCGCAAAAACGCCCTGTAATATAAGATCCCAGTGACCACAGCCACCGAGATCGTAACGCCATAGCTTCTCTGTAGAAAGAGATTGCTGCTGAAGTGAATAAAAAGGGTTAAAAAAGGGGTTTTGGTCAATGTAATGTGTACAATTACCAAAACTATAAAAATCATTCCTAGATCATTCGATTTTGTCATTCCAGAGCTCCACCTTTAGAAACAAAATGTTCTTTCAATTTATCACGAACTTCAATAGATTCTGTTGTAGGCCTCGTGTTTCTTGTTGCGGTCAGACCTGAGTTTGATGGGAATTCATTGCACCATGGCATTATCATTTGCATTGTAATTGATATCCTTTTAATGTTGAATGAATTTATGAAATACGCAAACGCTTTTCTTAGATTTTTCACTTGTCTTAAAAATATATATGGAATTTTTATCTGGTGGTTTAAAAAGCAGGCCAGGGAATACATTTTTTGAAATTTCGAGAATCTGGCCTTTTGATGTTTAAATCACGACTTCGTTTTCGTGTTCGTTTTTTTTTAACGACTACGATGCAAGTACTTCAACGAGTGAAAATGAATCCATTTATTTATATCGATGACATCAGTGGGGTCGCCGAGTACTGACTTGACTCGCCTCGCCTCGCACAGTGTTAACGGGAAAAAAAACAAAAGGACTGTATAATTTGCCTCAAACCGACTCGTCTTGTCTCGACTCGCTTGGTGTAAGCTCAGCCTAAGGTTTCGGTCATGCATATTTTAGTTGAATATATAAACTAAGGTTTCAGTCATATAAACCAATGTTTCAGTCATAGTCATATAGTTGAACCAATGTTTCAGTCATAGTCATATAGTTGAACCAATGTTTCAGTCATAGTCATATAGTTATGCAGTCATATAGTTGAATGTTTCAGTCATAGTCATATAAAATGTTTCAATGTAGTTCAATGTTTCAGTCATAGTAGTTGAACCAATGTTTCAGTCATAGTCATATAGCCAATGTTTCAGTTCCAATGTTCAGTAGTCATATAGTTGAACCAGTGTTTCAGTCATTCATATAGTTGAACCAATGTTTCAGTCGTCATATAGTTGAACCATCAGTCATCATATAGTTGAACCAATGTTTCAGTAGTCTTGTTTCAGTCAGTTATCACCCATAGTCCCAGTATAGTTTCTCAGTCATAGCCATATAGTTGAACCAATGTTTCAGTCATAGTCATATAGTTGAACCAGTGTTTCAGTCATACTCATATAGTTGAACCAATGTTTCAAAGTCACATAGTAGAACCAACATTAAAGTCACTGTGTTGAACCAAAAATTTCAGTCACGTAGTTAAACCAGTATTTCAGTCATTGTGTTAAACCAAAAAAATCAGTACCAAGACTTAAATCACGCCCTTAACCAAGGTTTATAGAATCTCGAAATTAATTACACACATATCGTTTCTCTCAACCTAAAATCAGAAACATTTCAGCACCAAGTATTGCGAGGAGGTAACTCAAGGGTAGAATGTTCCAGGCCTATGCCAATGGTAATTCTATTCAAGGATCTATAAGTATCTTGAAAAGTACTCATTGTGGCTGATGTAGAAAAGGTATGAATTGTAATGAAAATCTTCACAACACGAAAGGTGTGTATAACCGGTTTCGAATATACTTTCGTCAGAAATAAATGAAATACATGTATTTCTGACGAGTATGAAAACGAACCCTACTATCTTTTCTATTGTGAAGATATCCATTCTTATTCATACGTCTACAATAGGTATCTTACATATAATGAATTCTCGACAGTTTATAAAACCTTTGTCCAGGCCATCTTATGGAACAGATTATGCCATTTACTAAGAGACAACGGCATATGAGTTTGTATCTACTATGCCCAATTAATCGATGTATTTCAAACACTTTGTTTCAGAAAGTGTTACATATATGCGTATATATATATACATGTATATGCAGAAAAAAAATGTAAAATAAAATTCTCAAAAGAGATCGACACTTCGTTTACCCTCAGCTCCCACCGTCCCGCCCACCCCCACCCCCACCTCCCCCTCCACCACCACCACCCCCACCACCAGCTCCACCACCACCACACCACCACCACACCACCACCACCACCACACACCACCAACACCACCACCACCACCACACCACCCACCACCACCACACCACCACCACCACCACCACCACCCCCCACCACCCCCTCCACCACCACCCCCACCACCACCACCCACCACCACAGCCCCCCCCCCCCCAACCTCACATGTTTGTCAGGCAATAAAACAAAAGGCCGAGGAACACACACACCATGGCAACAACAGGTCACAGACACCTCGGGCAACGTCGCGGGGATACTGAGATTGGACTTTGGGCCTTTTGTCACGTGTAAATACGGGTCACGTGGGATGTGTATAGAAGGCATAGATTTTGGTCGATCGTTTGGCATTGTTTTCTGTTCGTTGCGGGTGTTTTGCATATCTATACATTTATTCATGTTTCCGATTTTATTTTCACTTTTACTCGCAAAAATATACATTTACACACGAAACCTATATTTATATGTATATATATATATATATATATATATATATATATATATATATGTGTGTGTGTGTGTGTGTGTGTGTGTGTGTGTGTGTGTGTGTGTGTGTGTGTGTGTGTATGTTTATATGTATGTATGCATACATATGTGTGTGTGTGTGTGTTTGTGTGTGTGTGTGTATACATATATACATATTGATAGTTCTATGTGTGCATACATGTATATATATTTCTGTATATGAAAGACATATGAAATATATACATGAATGTATATATAATATATATATATATAGATAGATAGATAGATAGATAGATAGATAGATATAGATATGTAGACCGATGCTTCTGCGTAGAATTCGCCAGCCGTTACAAGGCTTTTGTTTCAGTACGTTGAAATCCACCGCGCACACCACTAGAAAATTTTATCACCTGTTTATATTTGCCAACGAAAACAGGGAAGGTAAAGCCTGAATCATCAATATCAGTTGTCTCTAGACGTGGTTCCTTGCCCTCATGATTTGATTTCATGGAGCCAGGAGAAGAGGGGGAAGGGGGAGAGAGAGGGGGGAGGGAGAGGGAGAGGGGAGGGAAGAGGAGAGGGAGGGAGGAGAGAGAGAGAGAGAGAGAGAGAGAGAGAGAGAGAGAGAGAGAGAGAGAGAGAGAGAGAGAGAGAGAGAGAGGAGAGAGAGAGAGAGAGAGAGGGGGGGGGGGTAGGGAGGGGGAGGAGATGGAGACAGAAAAGGAGAGAAAGAGAGAGATTTGAAAGATTTTGAAAGAAACTGATAGCGGATAATACAGATACAGAGACATCGGTAAAGTTTTACAATAGACACTATAACTTAGAAAGGAGAATAAACAGGAATAAGTAACTTCCACAACCTTCGAAAAACACCTTAGGAATGAGAATAAACAGAAATAAGTGACCACCCGTACCCAACACTAGGCTAACAGGGTGACGACCAGATCACCGCGTGGCCTTTAAATTGTTACCATGTACGAGTTGCTACGTAACAATCATTTCCTAAGCTAAATGACAGTTTTATTTCCATTCCCAGAATTACTTATATTACCTAATTACTATTCCCCCGTCAATTAAAAATTTAAGCACTAGGTTACCCACTTTGCCAAACACGAAGAACAGACTAAAGTTAAATACAGTAGCTTTCCCACAGACAAGCAAACGAGGTTTTAAGAAAAGCGCGGAGAGGGGAGTAGGGGGTAGAGGAGGAGGAGGAGGAGGGGGCATGTCACAGGCAAGAACCTCAGTACCCATAATCCGGCGGGCGATTTTCAAAACAAAATCTGCACCTGGGTCCTGGGAGGTGGTTGTCTCAGATACAGTTCGGTCCGCGTGGGTAACGGTCAATCCCTTCCGAGCACGTGGAAAAGGGAGGGAAAGAGAGAGTGCGTTGGTGACATAAGTGTGGATTTGCTGTTACATAAGGAACGAATTTGAACTTACGGGACAGGAGAGTGAGATAGAAATAGAGTGTATGTGAAACTTCGTGTTTGTGATTTTTATGGTTTTCGTTTTAATAAAATTGCATTATATCTGAATATTGGAAATACAATTTGAATGCTGGTCTTGTGTGTCGATTTCATCCGAGGACAAGTAGTGATAAAACCACATTTTGCGACGAATCTTCACGACCCGCTTGTGAATAAACACCCAGAAGAAATAATAAGAAAATAAAGGTTACCAGAACTCCATTTCGAGGACCAATAAAATGGAATCTGAGAATCGGAAGTGCTGTCAGCAGAAAATGACAACCTGGCAGAAAATTGCAACGCTCATGCTTGCACTCATTGCTGCAACATTTGTGGAGGCGACGGTAGCGGGTGACTCGCTGGAGGAGGCGGCCAGTGAGGGGAAACTGCACTATGAGGTGATCATGAGGGAAGCCAAGATGCCCAAGTGAGTCGTGAGGGGTCGATATTTCCTTCTCGTCTTGGTTGGTAGATGTAATTGAGACTAAAGAAATTGGTGTTATGTTTGAGTTGTTTCGGAGGAACGTGTGACAATTTCTGCGAACTGTTTCCTATATATATATATATTTTTTTTTCTTTAAAGCTCTGATAGATCACTTTTCTTCTCTCATGAAGCAATGAAGGCAAAAACAATAATCGAAATAATCCCAGAATTGTAGTTATCCATTTGTTTGCCGGGTATTAAGTCTCAACAGCTCTTGCTAACACATAATAATACGTTAAATAACTGCCGTGATTCAAAAGATAAGCCACACTCGGTAAAGATACTCTATATCAATGATAATTTCCATATTCATTGCCATCATGACAATCATTAATTTTGCATATAATCACTTAACCTTGAAAAACACCTGGCAATTGCAAACATATTGAGAAAACATGAAATTCTTAATAGTACACATTACCCGTCTCTGTTAGGGAAACGAAATAATAAATAATAATAAATAAGCGAAATAATAAATAAGCGAATAACCCAAAACATAATCCTAAAAAAATCATGCATGCCTTACATGTGCATGACAAACACAGACAAATCTCATGCACAACAAATATAGACGATGTTCTTTAACTTAGAACATTCCAGATCTTCGGTTGGGAAAATACGCACATTTTTATCGATCACTCCTCACATCCTTTGTCTGTGATAAAGACCCTTTGTATTTTTGTCAATTTTTATATTTCCTTATCACTTGCCTATAGTTATATGTGTTGCCGGATGCAATTATCACTTCATCTTATCACTAGTTATATGTGTTACGGGATGCAATTATCACTTCATTTTCCTCTCCGAAGTGCTAAACTCAAAATATTAATAATGCCAACCGTTAAATTGTAATTGTTTTGCTCAAGGTATGGCGATTGCTACCAGAACGCATTGGAGGATCTGCACAATGGCTGTAGCAATCTTGATGACGAGGTGAGTGTCCGAATAAGGAAGATTTTTGTAATTATCGTTATTATTGGATCTGACAGTGTTTTCATTCTTGTAATAGGAAGTCATCATCATTACTGCTGGTCACATTTTTGTTATTATCATAGTTATGTGAAGTGAACATATTATAATCACAAATGATAGTTTGAGATAGTACTACTGCCGGTGATGATTAATAGCAGCACTAGATTAATTTTTCTTAATTACATATTTTTCTTATTCATTATGCTGCTATTACCAATAAAAACAATAAAACGTTTGATTACTAACACCCCTTTCTCTCTCGCTCAGTCACATAACGAAGCTGTATATCCCATGATAGCGTACTGTTATTATAAATACCTAATCTCCATCTCACACCAGTTATTATTCGCCAGATCAAATCTCCACCAACAAAACTCAGGGGAAAAAAATTAAAATAGTCCACACACTAAGTTCTTACATCCTATTTAAAAACCCCCCTTCCTATTTAAACTAAGTCATATCCAACATTACACGCGAAATCTTTACTAGTAATAAATTAGTAATAGTGATAATAAAAAATTATGGTAATGATTTTGATTGATTAAATTTAAAAATAGTAATAAATAAAACGATTTTTGCATTTTCATTTTAGTAATAAATTTTAGTATTGATAAATTTTAAAATTAATTTAATGGATGGATGGGATGATTGGGATTAAATAAATTTTGATTTGATTGATAATTAATTTTTTAAATTTGATTAAATTTTAATAAGGTTTTTTAATTAAAATGGGGAATTTGATAAAATTTTAAATTTTTTTTTTAAAATTTTAATTTTTTGAATTAAATTTTTTTTTTTTCCTTTT